TGCATCATGCACGAGGGGGGGAGGGGAGAGGGGATAGACGGAGATGTTCTGCGTTGTGGGTAAGGATGTCTTTGACGGGTTGATTATAGAGTTTGGTGGCACACGGCACAGAGAGTTGATCTTGAGTCCTTGACCAGTCCTTGGAGGGCGTTGCAAAGAAAAAGGGCCCGAGCTTACCTGGAAACAAGGAATCTGACCTGACCGTTAGTGTTAGAACCAAACTCTCCCCTTTTGGCTAAAAGCAGCGGGCTACAGGCACAATGCACGGTAATTGATAGAGTTTGGCGGCTTTGAAGCTATTCGCAACGGAGCCCCAAGCAGGAGTAGGGGGCCAATACAAGCAGTGCATTCTTGGCGCTAGCGCAGCGACCCGAGCCGTAAACGTTAGCCTCAGTGCCTCACCAGAACGGTTTCCCGAATGGCTGGATGAACTTCTCAATCTGGAATGAAGCCGGGCATTTGGGTTTGATTTCAGTTGAGTTCAGTTAGTTCTGCATGCACGCACGCACGAATGGGGACACTTTTGTTTTGGTCTCGAGAGAAATGAAACCCAAGACAGACTGCAGCAGGCTCGTGCTGCGGTGGTCTAGAACGCCCTGGACCTGGAAACCTGGAAAGCAGGCCCAGCTAATGTGCGTTGCAGAACAGTCTAACCTCCAATGGGGCATAATTGCGATCATTTTAGATAATAATTCTGCAGCATGAAGAATCAGGGGAATTCTGGAGCGTAACATCGTCTTGTTTTGCTGCCAGGACCTGTTCCACGCAGCCGGAACGCATTGCGCGTCGGCATCGCCGCGGCATCTACACATTTAACCTGGTGTCGACGGAGGTGGCTGCCTGACGGCCAGGGCTCTCAGGGATCACACGTATCGGGGACCTATGGCAAAGCTCCGCTGCTCCCGAGGGGTTGGGAACGGACACTCCCGTTCCTTGCATGGCTGTTCTAGTGAGCCGGTCTCTCGGGTCTGTCGGTGCTTTGCTTTCCTTCTTCTGGGCAGAGTATGCGGCTGTCATCGAGATCTTCACCAGCTGTATGGTGCCATGGTGCTATTAATCCCTGACAGAGCATGGCATGACATGGGGGAGTTCGTTCAAGCTATTGATCTCTTGCATACTGCAGCTTCGGCGAACGCACATGGCAGGAATGCACCACTGGGGACGCACCGACGCAGAGAGGATCAATATCGCGTGAGATGAGTAATACCTTGGAAAGTAGGCCGAAATTTCGTCCTTGGCGGATCGGTAAACCGCTTCTGATAACTTGGAACAGGTGGCGAAAAACTCTTCCGCCGGCTTCTACTGGTAGTACACAAAGGCCTGCAAAGCTGTCAATGACCTGTCATTAATTAAGACCTGAACTAGAAAAACACACGGACTGCTAAGAGTGTGTTATCACGCCACAAGCACCTAAGAAACTCGTCATAGTGGTCAGTGCCGTCCGTTCTAGCAACGAAAAGAAAGAAGAAAAAAAGAGCTCAAAAGAGTTCAGGTTTGACCCTCTCTCTGCCTTGGTCTCGTCCGTGTGGGGCCGAGCTGAGGTCCGCCCGGGCCGCGGCTTTTATTCGCACAGGAAACTCGGGGACGCGCCCCGAGAACGGCACAAGGCTGAGAGATTCAACGGCGGCGGTAGTAACTATAGAATAAATGGACTATAGCTAGTTATTGCAGTGGAATTGTATAGGGTAACACCAAGACGTACGTGGGTTGACGATGTGGTGAGGAAGTGAGAGCATTCAGTCTATGATACACAGTGGTTGCAACGGGATATCAACATCAACTTGGCCAATTGCAACCCGGGGGTGACGTTTACTGAGTTCTGTGTCTGAATCCGGTATCGCTTGGGGGCGTATCATTTACTGTACACAGATTCCTACAACCTACATATCAAGACCTCTGATCTGTGGAACTCATAGCCAAGCTGTAAAGAAAACATTAATAAGAGATCGGCCCATCTCAAGACCCCTTACAACAAACTGGGAATCTAAAACAACGGTTATACTGTAATATTTTGTTATCTTTCTAAAAGAAATGGGTTGCAACCTCTACGTAGCAATAGCTCATTTCCAACTCTGTCGATCTATCCTCAGCATATTATACTAAACCTGCTGGCCGGATAAACACACGCGCGACGCAAGGGTTGCACCAAAGTCATAGCGAGCTGAGTCACCGTATGAGTAATCATGTCAATTCGTCATTATGTTTAAACACTGCGTTTAGGGACGGGACAAGAAAGCAGAACCGTCGGATACGGGGCGCGGACACGGGCCCAGGAGCTTTTCCGGTTCACCGGGCTCTCACAGCCTCCGTCAGATGCCCAGGAATCCGAGACAGTACCTTTGACGTTTCCCGTGGACATAGACTTGGTGTTCGTTTATCAGTGGCAAATCAGTCAGCGTCAGTAAATTCTAGCAATAAGGTTAAGCAATATTTTAATCCAATAGACTACATTATTAGAGATGCTTGACAAAAAGGGTGTCCTCTCGCAAACTTAAGGGATAGGCAACGCGGATAGCTGACAGCTAAAAGGGACATGCCTCAAAGACTCGACGGTGATTGTCAGGGACAACTCAATTATAGTATGATGGTATTGGACTAGGAATTCATGATATCAAGTAATGGAATAGCTACGAGGCTAGATTTAAATAGCATATATGACTTACCCAGAAGAAAGGAACTATCTAAGTATTACAAGCTCAATATCAACACCAAACAGCCCCAAATTAGATATATATATATATCAATTGATTAGCAGGTTCATCTGGCGTGTATCGTTTAAGCATTATAAACAATTGTTGTCATTTAAAGTCGTCGCAAGTCATTTCTTGTATAATTTAGGAGTGTCATGTAGCAATGATTCTTCGCAGCTGGTCTAACATGTTTGAACTCATAGCTGCCGTCAAGCTCATGGTTTATTCATACCATCTAATCTCACCAACTCTCTAATTGAATGTCGATAGAGAGATCTTATAATCGTTAAGTATGGAGGTTCGTAGTAGCATCCCCTGCTTAACTTGTCAGATATGAATGTTGACCAAAACAATGTCAGTCCGAATTCAGCTCTATTATCACGGTTCCAACATTCAAGATCTCTAGGCTCCGGTCACTATGGCAGAAACCACTATGATTCCTATCAATGAAGGCCGTGTGTTGGGTTCTAGGTAGTAGCTATTTTAGAAATAGGCTTTTAGCAAGTTCTCATGTTGCAGGTGCATGCATGGCTTTGGTTCGTGATGTGTACTACCTACACCATTGTAACAGCACATCTCCCTCATGTTTCATTAAATACCTAATACTATAGAATTCTTTTTTCATCTTACTGAGTCCGTGCAGTGGCACCTATAGTTGAAGGATGGAACATACCTCGTTGCTAAGGATGGTACCAATATCTCCTCCGGGGAGGGACTTGCTAACTTGAACGAATCTTGTCGCAGCCGGATTGCTGGAGCTGAAATTACCCAACGCTTCGAGCTGAATGAGTGTGTCCGGTAGAGTGATATCTCATAGGTGCCTTATATGCCTATGCAGGTCTTCGTCGTGTTCTTAATTCGAGGTCGCGCGAGTCCATCAATAACCAGAAGACGTGACTCTGGGAATCAAGACTGATCCCCTTATTCTTTTCAACCCACGGTTCTGGTATTATACTTGAACTACACAGCCTATAAACTGCTGAGATCAGAATTGTGGTGCTTGGTACTGAAGGGTATATTCTATTATCCTCGTTGGTTGTGTTGGTTGGAGCTGGTGTAAGTAAGAAGGCAACTACACTAGGTAAGTGTGTATCTCATACTAGGTACACATGATGAACTACGGTACGCAACTCAATTCAAGATGTAATCGGTTTTTATCTGGTCTAACACTTTCCAGTATTGGCGATCTTGTCATCTAATGTTGCTCTGGCTTTGGACACCAGTGAGTCCCTACACTCGAGACTACTTGGGGCTTTGCGACGTTTCTCCGACCAAACTGAATTCTAGAAATATTTCAGTCATTTAAACACTTTAATAGATGCCGCATTACCAAATACGACACGGAAATGTGCAGCGGACAGTTGTTGCTGTCAACTTTCCTTGATACATACATACCCTAGACTGACACATTCTCGCCTGTCGACCTCCGCTGTATGCTTTGTATATGCTGCAAAACTAATCTATTGAATCTGAAGTCATGTTATTGTGAGCTTGCGCATCGTATTTCCATTTTGCTGATCGTAAAGATCTGGTTGTTGATTTCACAGGTGGAAACGAAATAATCTACGGAAGCGTTGCTCCTCGAACTCACGACACACGCCAACTTACCGAGTGACACATAGCAGGTTGGCTATTGAGACCCAGAAGAACATCTTTTGAGGGAAGCATTTGCATTGGAGCGAAAAACGCGGAATATGAACGTTGTCGCGTCTCAATACCTCACGTTTGTGGATAGAGGATATCGTTCAGTGCCTGGCTAAGGCGCACACTGCAGTGCTGGTCATGATCGCCAAGATATATATTCATCCTGTAGCTCATAGAATGATGTTTCAAAGCGAGTAGACAATGCTGGGATGACAATGGCCATGCTGTGCCTCTCCGAAGCAGACCAAGTCTCTTCTAAGCCAACCAGCATCTACCAACTAATCTGGGCCAACACCACGAAGAAGAGTGTTACTCAGCACTAAAATAAGTATCACTCGGCAAAAGCCCAAGTATGTTGGATAAAATAAAGTATTAAGCTCTTTGAACAGTATGAGTGATGGTGTTAACGACAGTAAGCACGTCTGCTGACTGTGTTGGAGAATCCGAGCTCTGCTTATCTGACATTCCTTCATGAGTAATATTCGAGCTTAGTGTCAGAACTACCCATCATCGTCAGCGTATATCCGAAAGATGGGTTGGATCTGACGAGAGTTGATAGAGGACGAGAGTCATACGTGTGTATGTAGATGCTGTAAGGTTCTTCGTAGGAAAGTAGCTCTTGGAACATTCATCATAGGAATTGGCGATGCGGAAACTTGAGTTGAAATGATTTCTGTGAGAGCGTTCGATCACTTGCGACAGCAGTTCTGCGGTGAGGCTGTGCGTGTCGATGATGATAACCCGAAGGCGGCTTCGATAAGTGGTGATGAGGAGGACATTCAGAAGAAGGCGGCGTTGCAACTAATCCACCAAAAATCAAAGGACGACAACAGCTTGATCGCAGTCAATACCGAGAATGAACTTCTTCGACTCCCAGCAGAACTCCAACTTATGATCCTACAGCATCTCACATTCGGCGAGGTCGAGTCTCTACGACGAACATGTCGTCTCCTTCGATACACAATCAATAAGCCTTTCATCCGCGAAGTCTTCCCCAGCATAAAACTCGAACTCCTCTCAACATGCTTTCGCTGTCTTCGCTACGACGCCATGGGAGATCATCTCATCCATGCCGATGAGTCTGACGCGAGATACCCTCTGGCCAACGAATGTCTCGACTGTGTTTCTTCACGAGGCGGTTTTGTCGTGGGACGTATGTATACCCTCGGGACGTTTGCGACGGTTTGTGTATGTCGATACTGTGGATTTCCTGTTACGTCGGATGCGGCGTGGAAAGAGTACGAGTTCCATCGTGTGTGCTATAGGCGATATCGGATGATACTGCTGTACTACTTTTTGGTTGGGTGTGCGCAGTGTACGATTACCATAACAGCAGCGTCGTTGTGTTGGAAGCATTATAAAAAGGAGAAGCTGGTTCTTGGACCTACAGTGGTAAGTGAGTGAGTATGAGGATAGAGTGTTGTGCTGACGAGCATAGGTCAACTTTCTCATGGCATGCTGGGTGTTTTGCTTGAGTATGGTAAGGGGCTCAGAGCTAAGGACTTATCACTGGTCTTTACTCCTGGAAATAGGCATTTTTGGGCTTTGGATACCGCCCCTTACGGGTGTTGTCAGGACCATGGGGAAAGGAACTGAGGGAGTTCGAGCAGCAGACATTGCAACAATCTTTTTCATTGCTTGCAACATGTAAGTCTACAAGCCTACAAAGGAATCACACTAACAGAACAGGTTATTTCGTTTCATCAACGTCCTTGGAAACACTCTCCTTGTCTCCGAATACAAGCTCTGGCGCCGCTACATGCCAAATCAATCAAAGCCAGCTCAGATCCTCAACAAAGTCACTGCGTTTCTCATCTTCTGGACGTACCCACCGAGTATTGAGCAAAAGTTCCCGGGGAAATGGTGGTTCTCTAGACAGAACACTCAGGTTTGACACGTCAGATGGTGGATGGTCTGGGGAAACGGGACTTGCAATCTGGGGTAGATCCGGAGACACGGAGGGCGTGGCGGTGACACTATTCGATTGGTCACTGAAGTTGCAGTCACTCCTTTCTTTTTTCTCTCTTTCTCCATTTTCACATGAGATCGCATCTGATCTAGTAATGTTTCGTTGATCTTCTTGGGACATGGATCTTGCAAGATTATGGGGAATGGCTTGGCTATGCAATGCAGGTCACTTCAGCTCAACAACTCAACCATGCGCTCACGGGAGATTGGATTATGTTGCTAGGCACAATATCATGGCGTTGCTAGGTCTCACTAAACGTGCTTGTTTCACGAGATGATTCTAGATTTGACATCCTTGACTTTCAGGAGATTATGTCGACGAGGCAACTCGGTAAAACTTGCTCATTTTTTAAGAAACTCCTGCTATTACGACTTGGTTTTCTGTCCTCCTAGTTGGCATGCTTCTTGGTCGTCGTCTCGGTGTGATTGCTCGCAACTCGGGGATCACGGAACCCTTGGCTCTGATCACCGCGCTCAGCGACATTACCTCCTCCCTGTCCAAAGGCGCCCTGGAGGGACTGGCTAGCTGATCGGTCATTGCTATTCTTGCTGCTGCCACCCTTGCTATTGCTGTCGTCGCCGCCACCTGATTTGTCCACTCTAGGCTGGTGTTGGTCGTGCTTCGTCGCGTCTCTCTTGGTTGGCATGCCGTCGTAGTTGCTAGCCACTCTCGTATCCTTGGCCTCCTTTCCAGACCCATCACCAGCTTTGGGTCCTCCGGTGCCAAACAAGCCCTGCAGCATTCCACTGCCGTGAGAAGTGCTCGACGTACCGGGCTGGTCCTTGGCAGACATCTCAACTGAAGTTCGAACGTTGGAGCCGCCAGCGCCAACTCCACCGCCGACTCCACCGCTGGGGAGCCTCTCGGGAGGTGCTGTGGTGCCCTCTTTGCGGTTCGAGTTGGCGTGGCTAAGCTCGTGGCCGCCCGTGACGGCATTTCCTCCAATGCCGGCGCCGCTGAGCCCTTCGGCCTTTTTGGCCTCCGCGCGACCCCTGCGATCTTGCTCAGGCGTGGTTTCGGGCTTGGATCTGCCTAGGTAGTAGACACCTGCACCGAGAGCTGCTACGCCTGAGATAATGGGAACTGCAGCGGAACCTTGTTGGCCAGCACCGAAAACTGCCTTCATTTTGATGGTATTTTTAGGGAGTGAGTGATGTTAGAGTGTTTAGAATTGGTGTTTGTAGAGTAATAGTTGGAGGTCAAATGTGATCAATTGGACAATGTTTGGTTAAGAGAATGGATTTCTCTCCTCTGTTTTTTTTCTACTGTCTTGTCTGTGACGTCGTTGATACAGTCATGACATATGGGCTACTCATGATGACAGCATAGACGTGTAAGTCAATACCACAAACAGCAAAGACGTCAGGGACCAGAGCAAGCCATGATGGATCATTTATCGATAATGATGAGCCCTTTTATCAGGACACAAAGCTATTGAGTCTTATAATCACGATGAGGTTATAAAACGGCGATTGAATGTGTAAATCATCATGATCGAGTCGAGTTGATAACATGGAACTCGTGGGCCAAATACCATCAATGACGGCGTGAATTCACTGACCAATGAGATTGTTGAGTCTCGGTCTTTTGTTCTTCCGTTAACCCCGGAAATACTGCACTGCATGTGCCGTATTCTTAGCGAGAGCACTAAAAGGCGGAACCGCGATTTAGCGTGATACTAAACCACGGAGCCGCAGTCAACCATTGTTTCCCCTCATCTCAGGGCGTTGCAGGGGCAGAATCTGGGGCAATGGGGAAAAGGGAAAAGGGAGTTGTTCACACTCTCGACGTTCTTGGCCTTGGACGTGACGATCGATGCACTTTTGTATTGAGAGTGGGATCAGGTGACAGTCAAAGCTGAAGTGTGCTTTGACTGATGAGATGCTCTTCGATTCACTGTGAGCAGAGATATAGTCCATCAGATACTGAATTGGAGACGAGGGTTGCATTTCTCGAGTCAGTCAACGACCGTTCCAACATGTAACCAACTATTATTATTATGCAGCCATACAGAGACTAAACGCTCTCAACAGCTGGTCTTGTCGTCTCTATCCCCTCTGTCAGCCCAACTAAACTGAAACGCATCATAATCGACCCATCAACAAAAAGCTTCTTGTCCCAAGACACTGACTTATACGTACCCTGCCACGTTGCCCCTACACCACTGCCGTAACCTTATAGGCCTCCTCCGTAAATCTCATGTACATCCAATCCATTGTATAGTGATATCCACTCATCTGGCAGCGGATCCGAAGTTCTGCTTCTTAGACCACCAACTCTAAGATGCACGGAGGTAGTACCAGTCCGGGGCCCCGGTGATCTCTGATACGTATCCATGATAAACACATTCGTTGGGTAATTTCGATCCTTTCCCCAGACTACAGTTTTGTAAGTCATCTATTCTGCCTGTTGTGCTGTTTCTCCTATATCCTGTATAAGTCACCAAATCTTCCCCTCACAGCACCTCAGCTGGCCGGAGAATAACCCAAAAGTCAATCTTGCCTCTCGATCTAGACTATCCTCAACTAGCAATTGATACGCGTAGAACATTCACTCTCCCCCAAAAAGAATCCCCCCCCGCACAGAATGCATCAACGGTGAGGCTGCTCCCTCCCTAGTCCCTGTCTCCCTCAGCCGGGCGAAGGGATCGTGTGGAGATGGTGGCATCTGGGGTTAGTAGAGAGAAACTGTGAACTCCAACTCAAGGTCTTAGCGCTGCCAATCTAAATTCCTCCCCCGCAACGAACAAACGCAACCGCGCAACGCCAAGCTGGGGTAGGATGCTACACTCCTTTAGGCTGCGAGAGGTTAGACTGAGACCAAAACTCGTCGAATCGGATAGTTAGGCCTCCTCCTTCTCCAACCCTGCTGTGGCTTTGATGAATCGAAGACATGCCTTGACTCGGATGACACGGCGCCAACGCCAACCAAAACCCAAGACTTGCTCGTGCTTCTAGACGGACAGGCGGGCTGATCTTTCCTGGTGCTTAGATGCCGTTGTTGTTCCTCTCCTCCTAGTGGTGGAGATCTGCAACTGAATGAACAGACCATACAGGACCTGGGGAAGCAAAAACAAAAGCAACATGAACCAAAGATGCAACATGGGGCCGGATCAAAGGGTGGCGCCCCTGTTCCGTGCCAATCTGGGGGAGCCAGGCTTGGCTTTTGAGCTTATGTCTCCGTATTGGCTTGCAATTTATATATATTAGGGGAGCTATGGCCTGATATAAGTCCGTCCCTGTCCCTGCATCTGCATTGACTCTGTTGTCTCTCTCTCCTCTTCACTACCCCATAAACTGATTTCGATTCTATATACCCATTGCGACTCTTCTCCTTTTCACTAAGAAAGATCAGTCCCTCCCCAACAATCTCCCATCCTGGACGAAATCACCATCATGGCCGCTACCACCGAACACAGCGAGCAATTCAACGAGAAGCACGATGGTCTCAATGGCTTCGACCCTGAGGCCCAGCGCCTGGAGAGTCTGAACAGGTTGCGAACTGCTCAGAGTGTTCAGATGAGCCCCGAGTTGTTTGAGAAGCTTTACCTTTCGCCTATGAACAAGGTCAAGGGAGACCTTCGACAGACATTTGGAAACCCTACACCAATGTATGCCGACTTCATCTCCATTGACAGTGATATCGATTGCTGACAACTATTGTAGTGCTCTTGTTGGTTTCCTCCTCGCTTTCACGCCTTTGACTTGCGATCTCATGGGCTGGCGAGGCGCTGGTGGCAGTGGTGCTGCCTCAAAGTATGTCTTCATCCCCTAACACCCTTTTTGAACGCGTCTAACAACAGCACCAGCGCCGTCTACGTCTTCATGGGCGGTCTTCTCATGATCATCGGTGGTATTCTCGAATGGGTCCTCGGCAACAGTTTCCCAGCCTGCGTCTTCTGCTCCTTCGGTGGTTTCTGGTTCTCTTACGGTGGCACTCTCATCCCTTCCTTCGCTGCCTACGCCTCTTATGCTCCCGCCGATGCCACATCCTCTGCTGAGGGTCTTGCTACTCGAGGTTTCAACGCCAGTCTTGGTGAGTCTATACAATATGCAGGATGATGATCTTTTGCTAACGATACACAGCTTTCTGGTTGCTCTTCATGGGCCTCTTGTCCTTCATCTTCCTCATCTGCGCTTTCCGAACCAACGTCGTCTTCGTCATGATCTTCTTCAGCTTGACCTTCTGCTTCTTGATGATCACTGCTGCTTTTTGGGCTCTGGCCGATGACTTCACTGGAAACGCCAAGCTCGCTCAAAAGCTCCTTGTGGTATGTCTCCTCCTACACTATACTTACCTCTTACTAACTTGTCACAGGCTGGTGGTGCCTTTGGATTCGTTACATGCATGTCTGGCTGGTACATCCTCGTCGCTGTCCTCTTCGCCATCGTCGACTTCCCCATCCAAATCCCCGTTGGCGACTTGTCCACTGTCATCAAGGGACACAGCGAGAAGGCTCGTCGTGCTTAAGCTGGATATGATGGGATTAATATGGAAAAGGGGTTGTAAGGATGATACGCACATCGGGGCATCTCCTTACTGGCGTTGGTGATGGCGTTGAATCATCCAACAATTGGAAATGGGCGGCTTCTTGTCCGACGTTCGGACCTTGAGATTCGAACTTTATTCAGTTATTGGTTACAACCAAGGGATCTAGTTGCTTTATTAGCGGAAAAGATAGTGAATACCAGGGACATTTCCCAAACCGCTGCACCACCTTAATCATTCGCTTTGAAAAGCAACCCTGGTTATTAAACTTCCTGCAAAAGTCCACTCGCACTTGGGGAGAGCGAGAGTGTCACTGAGTTGAGTTTGTTGAGTCCGTAGATCTCCTTCATCTTCCACCCCAAGTCGCCGTGTGCTACAATAAGAACTAGAAGCGATACAAGGAGCAGACATACACTAATGTCATATTTAATACTATAATGGCCACTGAGCTTTAGAAAGACATTACGGGAGCCTTGTCGTGTCTTATGTAATTTCTCCAACATGTCTTCTTCGAAAATATGAGTACTCGACAATGTCGTTCTTAGGCTACAGGTAAAAAGGTGGCAGGATGCTAGATTGAGGGCACATTGTTAATCAAGACGAATAGCAAGATAATTTAAAGATCATAATATATTGAGAGATATCACTTAAACTCCTGTAATCCCAAATTCGTGACTCATATTTGGGGACTGCTTCTTGGTTCCAGCCCTTTCACTACAAATCCAACACTTCTTCAGCGACACCTTTCTTTCTGAGAAGCACCTTGACATCATCCCCGTACCTCTCAAACCCAACGTTGAATCCCCCCCGTAGAGTTGGCACTCTAAACTCCTCACCAGGAGCTGCCTCAATGTCAAAAGTTCGAAGCATAGTAGCAACAACAGAAAAGACGATATCAGTGCCAAACACGCGACCAGGACACATATTGCCCGCAACTCCAAAAGCTCTGACCTTGCGAACGGCACTTCCAGAGACTTCGCCCGTTTTATCGATGAAACGAGAAGCTCTGAAAGTCGCGGCATCAGGGCCCCAGTTGTCGACGTCCAAGTTGGATGCACACATTGGAAGCATGAAGATCTCTCCTTGAGGAACGGCAATTGGATCTGAGTCGGGGAGGTTGAGCATGACATCGTGACGAGCGATTCGAGCGACTCCTGTCATGTGAAGGCGGAGAGTCTCGTACCAAGATGCCATGAGCCAGGGGCACTCAGAACGAACATTGACAAAGTCGAGGCGCGGCTTGTCTTCCCCTTCAACGTGTTTGAGCTGTTGCACCTCGTCTAGAATGACCTTCATCAACTCTGGGTCCGTCAGCAAGTGGCGTGTGAGCCAGACTGCAAGAGTGCTAGTGGTTGCGAGGAGGCCTAGAGCTGAGACCATCTCAATGTGGTAGTAGTCTGGGTTATTCTCCCAGTTGGGATCACTGTGGGCCACGACGTTGATGCTGTGGGCGGTGGTTCTCATACGAGCTTCGCGGTGCTCGAGATGGAATTCGCGAAGTCTGGTGAGGAGGTACTTGCGAGAGTTCCAGGCTGAGTTTGCTGTAAGCCAAGCGAAGGGCCGTCCAAGAGTATCGAATGTCTCGCTGAGTTTCCTAAAGTTTGTTAGTATTTCCTGTCATATTCAATTGGGTAGAACTTACATGAACTCGTTAGAAAAGTCTTGATCCATACTCCAGGGGTTGGCAACTCCCCAGACTGCACTCGCTGTAGCAGAGACGGCCAGCTCAAACACCCAACGTCCAACGAGAACTTCATTCGTCTCTGGCATCTTCATCACACGATCTCTGATGTTGTTGCTGGAGCGTTGATTGAGGGATACAATGTTCTCAGCGTGTCCAAACTTTTGCTTGTGCAGAGGCTGAGGGTTGTAGCCGAAGACAGCCTTGATGGTTTCGTCCTTGAGACCAAAGAGGCGGGGACCAACATAGACAAGAACTTGAGCGAGACCAGTGTCATTGACATGACGGGAGAGGACTCGGTCCATTCTGGGATGACAGACAGTGATTCGTGCAAAGGGGATGTTGATAGTGAAGATTGGTGCAGTGGTGGATTTGATCAGGCGGTTGATGTACCGAGTGCTGTCAATGGTCAGGCCAAAGAGATGGCCCAACCAGGGAACAACGCCAGATAGGCGGGGGAGATTGGAGATGGAAGGGGTGTCATTGATGGAGGACTTCTCCTTGAAGGAGCTTGGAGATGAGAGGAATTGTAGAAGACGATGAGTCAGTGCTGGAAGGACGTAGACTGCCAAAGAGAAGAGTATAAAGGTGGGAATGAGGTTGATGGTGAGGGAAGAGAGGGCCTGAGATTGGAGGATGGAAGACATGTTGAGTTGAATCAACACTATTCAATAGTCTAAGAAGAGAGAGATAATTGTGTAAGAGATGATGTGATAGTTGCTCTGATGAACCTCTTCTTTCGTTTGGCCATCACTTCCACTTATACAACTTCAAGATAGACCTTCTCCTCAACTCCAAGCACCTTCATCGTGATCAACTTCAGGTCTCGACAGATCTCTCCACCACCAACCTCAGCTGTGAACAAGCCCAAAGGCCTGGACTAGCAAGCTCGCCATATCACATTCCCAGCTGCATCACTTATCACATGAATAATACCCCCAAGACCACGATCTAGCGAATTTTCGAGCCACACGTATCCAGAAAAAGACTCAAATACCCAATGAACTCGAAGAATCTTCATGTTTGTCGTTACACAGGATTCTAGATAGAGTTCGATATTGTTGGAAAGACATATATGCAGTTGGTTCTCTTTTCCACAGGAGTGGGTGTACACGGCGATGCCCTCACTTGTGAACAACCCAACAGACATTCTAGATCCGGCGATGCCTTGGAAGTTGTCAATAGTTCATCAGCGTCGCCCAGCCTTGTACCGCCTTCTCTGACGCCCTTTTATTACGTCGTCATGTCTCGCATATTATAGGGGGCAAAGGAGTTGGTGGCGTACGCATTTGGGGTTGGACCAACTTGTGCTGATAACATGGCAATACGGTGAGAAAAACGTTTATCTGTGCAATGGTAATAACCGTTACGCTTTATTTGACTTCCAACGTCTAAGCTAAATGTATGTAGTTCTTCAGGAGACGGCAAGTCTAAAGTGTGTAGCTTTGTTAATAGACTTCTGTACCTAAGGCCAAAGACACAAGCTGAAGTATATCACGCCCCAGACTACGAGCCAACAGACCGGTTTCTGGAATCTCCGAGTGACCCCGTTTGTGTGTAACCTTTCTGTTGTTAGACACTTTCGTTCAGGTTTCCAAGTTCCAAGTCTTTGGGTCATAGGCTAATTGCACAACACCCTCTTTGCTCCTCAACCCATGCAGATATATCGCCATCAGAAGTCTAGATCTACAGCAAACAAATCGCTTTTTCGGATCGGTGCGAGTACGGCCGAGTGTGGCTCCAGCCTGATCTTCGGGCGCCGAGGAGAACAACGCCAAGTATAGTCGGTGTGAGTGTTGGACGCCATGATTTGACCAGATGGGGGGATATTGTTCTACGTTATACTCCGGGTATTAGTACACTCCGGGTATTGGATCTTGCGTAGATTAGGTAGGTGACGCTTGTATCACTCAACTCATCGGGATCGTCGACGGAGGATTAATCACACGAATTGGTAAGGCTGCGACCAACGGTGGCGTGAATCTTTACTCCTCCAGCGGCGCACGATCCAGGGATCTACGCTCACATGAAAGAGGACTTGTATATGGCTGCGCAACGGTTCTTGACTTGATTGGATATAGTGACGAGGTTGTATAACGGGCGTTAATTATAGGATATGGGCTGGAATGCCGTTGAGTGTTGGCGTCGGGTTTGGCTGGTCTGTGAGACGGGATACTGCTAAAGAATCAACTGGGCGGAATGGCTATTGCATCATATCCTCTCTATTATGACTTGCATTTGGTGAAAAGATGATTCGTTGTATTGTTTGCGAGCTGTATGTAAGATTCTATGCAGTTGGATGTTCATGTTTCATGCGTTGGAATGTTGTGATCGGAGTCGCCTCAAGACAAAACACGACTCAATTGACAAACTGCATATGTCTGAGACATGCCTCTCAATTGCTTACCTGGGGAAATAATAGAGTAACGCACTTTATTGGTAGAGTCAAGAGTCCAAGATGACATGTCGTGTCTATTGTTCATCTCAACTTATTGCCTACAGGTTTACACGACTACACAAGAATAAACCTACCACAGACCGATTGTCATCAGGGTACAATTTATTGGCAATAGCTTATCACAAAGTGAGCTTCTGCGTCTTATGTAACTATAATGCTTCAGTGTGAAGGTAGCGCAGGCGATTTGAAAGACGTGGGTGTTGGATGAGTGTTGTACTTTACCCAGTGACGCAAACTAGTTCTCTCAGCTATAGAGAACTACCTGGGCATCATACGTTTGCTACAAGACTTACCCAGGTCATTAAGTGTGACTGATCTTCAGAGTTTCATCTGAAGGATAGATGCACATTCACCCTCTTGATGAGTATTCATGCGGTGACTCAGTTTCCAGATTATTGATCTCTGGGTAGCAAGATGACACGACAAGGGGTCGCGTTCGAGGTTCTCAATATAAATTTATCGCAATTAACAAGGATTAAATATGATTCCATTGATTGAGTCAAAACGACTCCGTATTGGATCCTTTTTTTGGCAGGGAAGTGACTCGAATAAAGTTTTTAGTGTCAAAATCGAACTGCGATAGCGGAGGCGATTGATAAGATAAGAATCACAAATATTCTCTCTTTCCCCTCCAAACGCAGTTACACTCACTCAACCTTTGCATTTCCTCTTCTTTTTTTCCCATCCGCTTCTTATTTAATAATACACAATCGCGATGGCTATGCGACTCCCCCTCCGAGCTCGATTGGCGTCCTGCGCTGCCGTCGCCCGTCCTCGGATCGTCCGCCGAGGATTCGCTTCGCTACCGAATGCCGACGTCGCGGCCGATTCCAAGAGCGCTGC